CTCCCCCCTCCTCTCTCCGACGCATACGAGCAGAGGAAGTCCCGCCCATAGTTAGGAGGATAGAGACAGAGACGAGGACAAGGGAAGAAGGCTCGAGGACGACGGCAACCCGCGACGACTCACAAGGGGTGCACAGCTACTAGCTGGGCCACCATGCGCTTTGCATCCATCTTCCTGGCCGCATTGGCCCCAATTCGCGCCATTGCTGAAGGCGCCCCGTCACTCAACCTGGGCGACATCCAGCTCGACGAGCTTCTCGCAAGGCACAACCTCGCTCTCGTGCCCAGGAATGAGCTTACTGAGACCTTGGCGGAGCTGACCGCCCTGCTCAAGCAGCAGCAACGGCGCCAGCCCACGCAGAGAATCGCCCTCAAGGCCAGGCAGACAGGCAACGGGACAAACGCAGATGCCAACACCAGCGCCGACCCCGACACCAGCACCGACATAATCGGTGGCATCGCCGGCACCAGCACCGCCAGCGCCAGCGCCAGCGCCAGCGAGAGCACCGCCACGGGCACCAGCACCGGTGGCTCGTCATCGTCCAGCGACAGCAGCGATGACGGAGGATCCCAGATCCTGGACATCGGCGGCCTCGGCGACCTCGGTGACTCGCTCAGCGCCATCCCCAAGCTCATCGAGGCCCTGGGTGACCTGCCGAAGCTCATCAACGCCGCGCTGGACCTCCTGACCACAGAGTTCGTCCAGGGGCTGCACGACTCCATGATCTACCTCGCCCAGACCCTGCGGCCGCCCATCCCCAATATTGCCAGGAGCCTCCTCCAGGAGGCCGAGCCCCTGGTCCAGCTCCTCAACCAGCTCGACCTCAAGAGCCTCATTGACGAGATCAAGGATGTCGACCTCGCCGGCATCGTCAAGGCCGCCCTCAAGCTCCTGACCGAGAGCAACATCAAGAACATCGAGGATGTCCTGACCAACGGCGCCAGCCTCCTGACGCCCGCATTCGTCAACGAGACGCAGTCGCTCATTGGCGACGTCTCGCCCCTCCTCGGCGAGGTCCGCCCGCTGCTCAAGAAGCTCACCAGCCTCGACCTGGACGGCATCCTCTCTGCCCTGCAGCCCCTGCTCAAGGAGGACGAGATCAGGGGCATCGTCACCCTTCTCAGCAACGCCGAGACCCTCCTCGACGCCGGCACGGTCAAGAGCCT